TCAGGCGAGCACTGCGTGTACCCCATCGACAGCACCTCTCGGAAGCTGTGGTCGGGGTTCTGCCCAGGGGAGCACCAAGTGATGCCGGTGGAGTTGTCCATGGTCATGCCGAAGGACCACTCCCTCCCATATCCGCCAGACCAGCACGGGGCAAAAATCTGAGGACTGGCATCTGGGTCGTGTGCCCTGTCAAGTCTCACATGCTTCCTATCTACCGTGTAACGTATTTCAGTGGGAATGTCCTCGCTGCCTAATCCCTCAAGCGGGCTTCAGGAATCGTTCAAGCTCCCAGACCCTAAATTGCCAAGTCTTCTTGGGCTTGTCGCGTGCCCCCTCTGGGGGCTTCTCGCAGCTTCTCGCGCGATTTTTTCCGGGCCCAAGGCCAAGAGGGCCCCGAGAGGCCCCAAAGACGGTCCAAGCGGGCCCCGAGTCCCCGAACGATCGCACGAAGACGCCCAAGATGGTCCCAAGACGGACCAAGAGGCCTCCAACACGCCCCAAGAGAATCCCAAGAGCTTCCCAAGAGGGCACCGAGGGGCCAAAATCATTGTTTGTCATTTGTTTCAACAATTTGGGGGGGCCCTCCACTTTTCAAACTGTCGACGCTCCAAGACGGCCCAACAGGCCCCCAGGACCGCCCCAAGACGGCCCCAAGAGGCCCCCAGGAGGGCCCCAACACACCGCCCCAACGCGCCCAAGACGGCCAAGAGGGCCCAAAGACAGCCCCAACGGCCCAAGAGGGGGAACACGAACCGATAATCTGGTTTTCCGCCAGAAGAAGGCCCCAAGGAGGCCCCAGGAGGCCTCCAAGAAGCCCCCAACACACCCCCTAGAGGCCCCGAAGACGCCACAAGAAACCCCAAAACAGTCCCCAAGAGGCCTCAAAACGGCCCCAAGAAAGCCCCCGAAAGGCCTCCTGCGACATCCCAACGAACACCCTCCAGGCCTACGACCCACAACCCAAGCACGGTGGCAGGATGGGCCGAAGGACAGGATCCGCCGCCCCCTGCTTGCAGGGGTGCACGGCGTGCTGGATGATTCAGGTTTTGGTTTTGGTTCTTTTTCTAAAAGAACTCCCCAGTGGGCTTCGGCCCGTCCCGCCGGCCACCCGCAAATTTCGGAAAACCCATCCTTCAATGCCCAAAAACGGCCGTTTCGCTCGGGACATCCTCAAAAAATCGCGAAGATGGCCCAAGATGGCCTCCAAGTCCGCCCGAGATGGTCCAAGACGGCCTCCAAAACGGCCCAAGAGAGTCCAAGACGGCCCAAGACGGCCCAAGAGGCCCCCCAGAGGCCTCCCAGACGGCCCAAGAGGCCTCCAAGAGGTCCTCCAGGAGAGTCCGAAGAGGCCAAAATCATTGATTTTCCCTTGGTTTTTGAAGGATTTTGGCATTTGCGCCTTTTCGGCTCTCCGACGGCTCAAGACGGCCCAAGAAGCCCCCAAGATCGCCCAAGAGGCCCCCAAGAGAGCCCCATGATGGCCCAAGTGGCCTCCAAGATGGCCCCTAGAGGGCCCCAAGAGGGCCCAAGAGGCCTCCAACACGCCCAAGATGGCCTCCCAGACGCCCAAGATGGCCTCCAAGACGGCCCTGGAGCATTCCAAGCGGGCCCCAAGTCGGCCCATAGAGGCCCCCCAAACGGCTTCCGACGGCTTCAGACGTGCCAGGAACCCACCAAGATGGCCGAAGTTGGCTCGAAGCTGGCCCGAGACGGCCCAAAAAGCCCCAAAGATCGCCCAAAGCTTGCCCAAGAGGCCTCCAAGACGGCCAAGATGACCTTCAAGATGCCCACGTGTTCCCCGAAGGCTTTCCAAACCGATTCGGGGAACACGTGGTCCGATAGCTTGGCAGTTCTGGCCTCAACGTTCGGCCACATAGGCGCTTCCAAAAAGGCAGGGGGCGGCGGTGATTCGCCGTAGGCGTCTTCGATACACATGTATGTGTGTGCGCGTGTATATATACATATATATATATATATATACACACATATACATATATACATATATACATATATACATATATATATATACATATATATATATATATTATATATATATATGCCAAGAATCCAATAGTATGTCGTAAATATAAAATGTCAAATATCAAATATCATATTTCATATGACATGTACCATGTATCATATATCACGCATCGGATACCGTATGTATGATATCATATACCTATCAGCGTAAGTCATATGCCATGGTTCGTACAGCGCGTGTTACAAAAAAATGTGCAAATAGTCACAAATCTGATATCGCATACTAATGTGAAAACAACCTAAACAAAATATAAGTATTGCACATATAACATAACATAATGCTGTTTAATACGAATTGATGATATAGACTATATATGATACTAGTGTTATATATCGCACTAACATATATCCGAATAGACTATATGATGCAGAACAAGTTGGTAACATAACATATGACACGATGAAATAATGCGCAAGGATTCAATATAACATATGTTGTAATACATCACATCATAATGGATTGTAACATGATGAAAAGAAATAATGATATAGTCTGACACCATCTACGATAATGGCATACCATAATATAAAACAACATCTATGCATATAGTTACTAGAATACGGGATAGAGCTAACCCAACAAGATATGACGAAATATAGACGGACATGTTGATTTACAAGACACCTGAATGCAATAAACATGTTGTCATAAGATATGGGCCATAAGAAGACATATGATGCAATGTAAGGTGTCATGATTCGATGGTATGTGATTGTATACGATATACCATATTACAAAGAAAACGTGTAACACTATGATACACAATAAGACGATACATGATAAGGCGATGTGCAGTTCTATAACATCTTGTAAAAAGGAATGGTAGTATAGAACGGATATGATATGGTGTGTGTAAGAATGTTCAAATATAAACACAAATAACCATGTACATACATACAGAACTACAGAAATACGTACATGCATCCATACATGAATACAACCATATGCATACATAAACATAGATATGTACATATAAATATAGATTCATATAAATATATATATATATATATATATATATATATATATATGAACGTATACATATATACCTATATATATGAATATGTATATATATTTATGCATTCATAAATATATATATATATATATATACACCCACACATCTATGTATGTATATATACATACATATACATACATATATATATATATATATATACATATTATCATACGCACCTCTCCGAGGGAGTAGAGCTCAGAGGCAATTAATGCGCACGCGTCCGCGATTTTTCTGGGCGTTTCGCTCGGGACATCCTCGAAATTCTGAAAATCGGTGGCACCCCTCACGCAGATCGTGACGTCAGGGTCCATCAACACATGGGAATTTCAACATTTTAACATAAAACCTTCAAAAACACATGGTATGTTCAATAATTGTGACCCCGATTCTCAGGGAATGGCGGTTTCGCTTGAAAAATCCTTCCAAAATCGAGCCCCAGACCCCGCCTCGGAGCCTCCTGGGGGCCTCCTGGAACCTCCTGGGGCCTCCTGGGGCTTTCTGAACCTTCTGGCACCCCAGACCCCGCCTCGGAGCCTCCTGGGGGTGCCCTGAAACCTCCTGGGGCCTCCTGGGGCCTCCTGCGGCCTCCTGGAGCCTCTTGGGGCCTCCTGAAGCCTCCTGGGGTCTCCTGGGGCCTCCTGAGGCCGCCTGGGGCCTCCTGGGGCCTCCTGGGGCTTCAGAACTACATGCACACAGAGACACAAATCACGCCCAACACATCACACGCTAGACAAACATAACACACACACACACACACACACACTACAACACACAAAAAGCACGCACCACACAAAGCATACATCACACACACACACACACACGCACAACACTCACAATCCTGGGGCCTCCTGGAGCCTCTTCTGGTATCCAAGTCGGGCCTCCTGAGGCTTCCTGGGGGGCCCTGGTACACACATCGCAAGGTGTGGCAACCCCACTTGCGCTCGAGTGCGACTTCGATGTTGCATTTCACTCCTGCTTCAAACGCCCCTTCAGTTTGTTGTATAAGCCTGGGCACACACGTGCCACTTACATATATACATCTATATATATATACATATATATGTATATACATATATATGTATATATATATACATATATATATATATAAATATATACATACATACATATATGTATATATACATATATATATATATATATATATATATTCAAGCTGGGGGGAGTGCGAAACCCCCCCAAGAAAAACTGGACCCTCAGGACCCAGGGTTTCGGGGCCCCCCGGACACCCTTGCCAAAGGTACCTGGGCTCGTCCCGGACCTCCCAGGGCGCTTAGCCGGGTCTTGCCAACAGAACACAAGCGATCAGAGCGGCGATCACAGAGTCCGAAGAGAGACCCAAGACAGAACAACAGCGCTACAACAAGGACCCAGATGGCCTCCAGAGGCCCCCAAGACGGCCCAGGAGGCCCTCACCTGAACTCCCAGAATCCAAAAAATAGGAAACGTGCACTTTCAGCATATTTACTGTTCGGTTATTGAAGGCATCCAAAACAGCAACAAAACCTCCGGAGGAAGAGGAGGAGCAGGAGGAGGGGGGGAGGAGGGGGAGGAGCAGGAGGAGGAGGAGGAGGAGGGGGAGGAGGGGGAGGAGGAGGAGGAGGAGATAAATAATAATAATAATAACACTGATAAGGAGAGGAATGATAAGAAAATTAAGAAAGAAAAAGAATAAGAAGAAGAGTAAGCAAAAATACTGCCGAAAACACAGTGTATGTCGAATGGCATATATCATAGATCACTCGCCATGTATCATATATCATGTATCATATATCAAATACCGTATATATGATATCATTAGCACACAACATAAGTCATATGTCATGGTTCGTACAGCATGTATTACAAAATTGTAGTGGGAACTTCAAACAAGCCTGATATCGTATAATGTGAACACACCCAGAATACAATATAAGTATTGCACATATTTCATAACATAATGTGGTATAGTACGAATCGGCAGTATAGACTATAGAAGACTACTGTTATATACTGCACTACGATAAATCCTAACGAAAGATATTATGCGAAATAACTTGGTAACAAAACACATGCCAACGAAATAAAAGCGCACCATATTTTCTAAATAACAAATATACAGTCTGGCACAATAAACGTAATGACACAAAAATACAGAATAGTTTTAATCTACAACAACAACATGTATGCATATGATGAATAGAATCTGGGATGTAGCTGGTATAACAAGATATGGTGTAAGATAAACGGAAATATTCGAACACAAGATACCGAAATGCAATAAAAATGCTGGTGTGAGTTATTAAGCATTTGGAGCAAAATGATGCAATACAAAGTACCATGACTCTATATGATGTGAAAATACAAGAGATAATGGATTACACAAGAAAAAAAAAACATCACTATGATATACAATAACACCAAACATCCAAATGCAGTGTGCAGGTATACTTCATCATACACTACGTAATGGTGTCAAGAAACGGATATGGTACGATGTGTATATAAATCTATACACGTATACACACATATAAACATGTACATACATACATACGCAAATACATGCATGCATCCATACATGCATACAATCATATGAATACATAAACATATATATGTGTGTATATACATATATATCTAAATATATATATATATAATATTCACAAGCCGGGTAGGTGCGAACCCTCCAAAAAAAAATGACCCCCAGGACCCAAGGTTTCGGGGCCCCCCGGACACCCTTGCCAAAGGTCCCTGGGCTCGTCCTGGACCTCCCAGGGCGCTTAGCCGGGTCTTGCCAACAGAACCCAAGCGAGCAGAGCGGTGATCACAAAGTCCGAGAAGAGACCCAAGACAGCACAACAGCGCCACAAGAAGGACCCAGATGGTCTCCAGAGGCCCCCAAGACGGCCCGGAAGGCCCTCAACAGAACTCCCAAAATCCAAAAAATTGGAAACGTGCACTTTCAGCATATTTACTGTTCGGTTATTGAAGGCATCCAAAACAGCAACAAAATGTCCGGCATCACCCCAAGACAGCCGAAGAGACCCCCAAGAGAGCTTCGAGACGGCCTGGATGGCCCAAAGACTGCCCAAAGAAGCCCCACATGGGTCAAAAAGGAACCCGACAGGCTCTCACAAGGCCCCCAAGAGAAGCCCAAAAAGGCCGTGGGAGGCCCCCAAGAAGGCCACGGGAGGCCACCAGGAGGGCCCACGTAGCCCCCGCAAGGTCCGTAGAGTCTAGAGGCCCCAAGCTCCCCAACACGGATCAAGATGGCCCAGGGACGTCTCGAGAGGGCCCCGAACCAGCCCACCAGGGCCCAAACAAGGTCAACACCGCGTTTTCCACCAGACTGACCCGAACCCCGGGTTCGCAACCACCATTTCCCGGAAATCTGTTGCGAACCCGGTATTCGGTACATTCCCTAAGAATTGTTTTCGATCGCGTGCCCCATTGCGACCCGCTGCAACATGACATCCTCGACTTGGCATTTCTTCGTATTTTACGGCATGGCCTGACATTGCGTCGGTTTGCTTGGCAGCCATTCGCGCGCCCTGCCGTTCCTTCGCATCGCGCACTGGGGCACCTGAGTCACGAGCGGGCCAACACGCGGGAGCACGAAGGACTTGTGTCGTCATTCACTGCCAGACATGTCTGCAAGCGCGCACGCACGCATGGAACCGTAGCCGTTGACATATTTTTTTCGGCGCCCGCATGCGCCATATCCCCCATGTCTGTATTCAGTTGCTCTGATCGTGGCCGACCTCTGCCTGTGGCTGCATTTTCCAAAGCGCAACTGCGCCAGTCCAATCGGGCCCACAGTTCCTGCGCCCGTCAGAGGGAGACACAATCGCGGTCGGCCCTCAAACAAGATCTCTTGCAACGCACCAGTTGCGAGGAGCTTCACAAACGAAGCCACTTCAGCAATGGCCAGCTGCGCCGATCCACTCGGACCTGCAAATCCTGTGCCACTCGGCGGGGGGGTGGCAGCCCCAAGCAACACCTCGTGTACTGCACGCAGTTGGGAAAGCTCCGAAACAAGACCCACTTAGGCGCCGGGCAACTCAAAACACGCAGCACAACGCGGGCTCGCAGCTCGCGCACATAACCCAATAGAAACTGCTCCACGCCAGCAGGCTGCCAATCCCTGTCACTGGGACTCTGGGACTGCATTTGTCTCCACTACGGCGTCGCCCGGTTCTCCAGAGTACGCGGGTTCCTGTTGTCAGTTCGGTAAGCACGCGATCGACTTCACCAGGTACCTCTCGGAGCCCAGGCCAGCCCTTCTCAAACTCTACCAACGCGAAGGTTTCAACGCCCATGCCCCGGCATATAGTAACTTTTCCGAACTCGCCGCGCACGGCATTCAGTCCACTACTTCGGAGCGGGAAAAACTTTTCCCCGCACAAGCCGTCCTACATTAAAATCCACGGGACGATGTACCGGAAAACGTGGACCGCTGAGGGAACCAACGCGGTGCTGCACAGTGTCGTTGACCCGCAGCTCCGGACGCACACGGCTGCCCGTTCGCAACTCAATCCACACAGTGTCCGTGCCCTGGAACGTCACGTCCTCCAGACGACCACGTACATGACGGCCATTTACAAGCTCACCACCCCCACAACGTCGCGCTGCCCTGACAGAACTTTGCAGCTCGACAGGGACGAAGGCACGCAGGAATTTGCTGCTAGACTCGACGCCGCTGGTAGCGCTGGCACGTCCCCTCGGCTTGTGTTCTTCACAAATCCGATCAGTACGGATACACCTCTCCAGTCAATGAGCTCTACGAGCCAGTTTCCGACCCTCTTCGGGGCCAAATGTCCAAGGACGCTAGGGATGGCGCGAACAACCAACATAGGCGAAGCCCCAAGAACCAAAGTGCATGGCGCGACGAGCCAATGCAGTCTTGAGTGTATGCATATTTCCATGCATATACAGAATCATATATATATATATATATATATACATACAATCATGCATGTACAGGTACATAAATATGCCCATATACATCTACGTGTACACATACAAATACGTATACATGTACATATGTTTACACATATGCCTTCATATGTACATAAAAGTGTACACATACGTATACACATATACGCATATGTTTGTATACACACACGACTACTAAAACGTACATATATACATGCATGTACGTGTATATATCCATATACTTGATACATGTACACCCACATCTACATGTACATATGCAAACATATATACATATATGTGTGCATATGCATAAATAGTTAAATGCATGCATATATATATGCCCGGAAACGTATACAATGATATATAAATAATTATATATATACGCATGTGTATGCAAACATATGTACATATACATATACAGATATGTAAATGCATTATATGCACATCGATATACTTCAATATACACCTATACATACATCGATGTACATGTATATATATATATATCGGAGGTGAGGGGGTGAGATCGAAGTGGAACGGAGAGCCCCCCTACCGGGAAATCGATTTCGGTTTCGTGTTCGTGCGTGCCGTGCGGGCGGGCGAGGCGGAGCTGCGTGGGCGGGCGAGAAAAAGTCTCCTGTGGCTGAGGCGCGGCCGGACCAAATGTCTCCCTTCCGGGCGGCCGGGGGCCCGCGGTGTCCCGCCGGTGTCCCGCTGGTGTCCCGTGTGGCTGAGGCGCGGCCGGACCAAATGACTCCCTTCCGGGCGGCCGGGGGCCCGCGGTGTCCCGCCCGTGTCCCGATGATGATGATGATGATGGTGCTGATGATGATGATGATGATGATAATGATGATGGTGTTGATGGTGTCCCGATGATGCTGATGATGGTGATGCGGATCGATTGTGAGGTCGATAGTGAGGTCGAATGTGAGATCGATAGTGAGATCGATAGTGATATCGGTTGTGAGATCGAACGTGAAACCGAATGTCAGATCGATTGTGAGATCGGTTGTGATACCGATAGTGAGATCGATAGTGGTATCGGTAGTGAGATCGATTGTGAGACAGAATGGGAAATCGTTTGTAATATCGATGGTGATATCGATAGTGAGACAAATAGTGAGACCGAATGTGAGATCGATTGTGAGATCTATTGTGAGATCGATTGTGAGATCGATAGTCAGATCGATTGTGAGATCGATCGATTGAGATCGATAATGAGATCGATAGTGAGTTCGATAGTGAGATCGATGATGAGACCGACCGTGAGATCGATTGTGAGATCGGTCGTGATATCGATAGTGAGATCGATAGTGAGAACGAATGTGAGATCGATAATGATATCGAAAGTGCGTTCGATAGTGAGATCGATAATGATACCGAATGCGAGATCGATTGTGATATCGATTGTGATATTGATAGTGAGATCGATAGTGAGACCGACTGTGAGATCGATAATGAGATCGATAGTGAGTTTGATAGTGAGATCGATAGTCAGATCGAATGCAAGATCGATTGTGATATCGATTGTGAGATCAATAGCGAAACAGACTGTGATATCGATTGTGGGATCGATTGTGAGATTATTGTGAGATCGATAGTCAGATCGATTGTGAGATCTATCGATTGAGATCCATTGTGAAATCGGTAGTGAGTTCGATAGTGAGAGCAATCGAGTGCGGCGTTGGTCCCTCCCCCCCTCACCTCCTTATCACCCGAAGGGTGGTCTATGCGGTATATGTATATACATACATACCTATATACATACATACATACATATACATATACATACACATATATACACAACCATAGACGTGTACATCTACAAATACACCTACGCATAAATCTACATGTACACATACAAATATATAATGACACATACAACTATACACACACACTGTGAACTCAGGGGCCCATGATGGCCCCGAGAAGCCGCCCAGGGGTCGCAAGGAGGCTCAGCCTGGGGGTGCGGCGGCACGCTGCATAGCCCCTCGGATATCTGGACACCTGTATGGAATGCCCCACAGTTCTTCGCCACGCTATTGTACCCGCGTGTGATAGAACTCTGGCCCAGGTCGTACACTCGCAGAAGAACTCGCTCGCGGATCTCACCCTGCGCTGGGCTTGCGCTAGATGATGCAGGATGGTTTGCTGGCGAGGACAAGGCAGCAGAACTAGCTGCTCTAGACACTTCTGGTGTAAAACACGGGTCGCTCATGATGGTCGGACGCTGAGATCATATGCAGCTGAATCAGCGGGGCCTTGAGCCAGCAACTTTCCTGCGCCTAGGCTGACATACATTCCCACGAGCACACGAGGCTACAACAAAAGTCGTCCGTTCGCCAAATGCTGCGGCGGCGCTTCTCTCCTGGGCAAAGGCGTGGGTGGAGGACGAAGAGAAGGAGGAGGGAAGACTGGCGCGCGGGCAGCTTGGAGCCCTGACGTCCACTAAACATGAAGTGTCCGATCTGCGAGCAAGTGGGAAACAGCGCAAACGAGCCCAAGAAGCACACGCCAGGGAAGAACACGCCCGCCTCGTCCCCTCGTGTCCTCCTTGCGTCTCCCAATCCCACCCTGTCCGTCCTCTTCCTCCGCCCCATCCGACCCTCCTCCTCCTCCTCCTCCTCCTCCTCCTCCTCCTCCTCCTCCTCCATCCGACGTGCGTGCATCAGTCTTTCGTTCACCTACCACCCCTCGCTCCCTCGTCCCCCCCTTCTCTTCCCCTCCGCCCTTCCTCCCTCCTCCTTGTCCACCCACTCCCCATGGAGGAGATGAGAGGATCGAGGTAAGGAGCGGTGGGAGGGATGGGGAGATGTATGCAGCGAGGAGAGAGGAGGGAGGGAGGAGAGAGGAGGGGGGAGGAGAGAGGAGGGTGGAGAGAGGGGGGAGGGGAACATTGGGGAATGGAGGAGGAGGGAAGAGGGAGGAACCCGCCTCCCTGCCCTTCCCCCCTGACCTGACCTGAGCAGTCGGTCCCTTCCGCTCAGGCCCTTTTGGCCCTCACCTCGCTCGCCTTCGAGCCCTCCTTCGGTCCCCCCCCCTTCGTCGCTCCTGCGGCCTGTCTTGCAGGCAGCCGAATCAAAGACCCCGCCCGAGTCCGAGGCCAGCTGGCAGCGTGCAACTCCCCGCGGCCCAGACGCGGGTGGTGCGGGGGATACAGGCCTCGGAACAAATTAGCGAACACTCATGCCACATACACTCATGCCACATTCATCCGTCAACGCCTCCCCATCCCCCCCCCCAATGTTCAAAGTTGGCGGTGGGTCTGATGAGATGCACTTCGGCCGCAGTGTCCCCCGCGCGTGCCAACATTGAGTTTTGGGGGAGGGGGAGCGTTCAGTAATTGTTTCCCTCTACCGTAGCAGGACTCCGCCTGTGACGGCGTGAGGCGGCGCCTGCATCGGAGGCCCAGCTCCGAGCCGAGCTGGACCGCCGTCCCGTCGGCCGCGGGGCCCGCCGCCCTCCCCCCCCCCGGGGAGCTCCGCAGGACTTGCGGTGGTGCCTTCCAGGGGGGCGGGGCGGTTCAGAGGCTTTCGGACTTGCCTCCGGGGGCCTCTCCTGGGGGGGGGTTCTCCTGGTCTGCGTCCTGGTGGTGCGTCGCACGGATGCGGCCTTCCATCATCGAAGCGTGCGTCTCGTCACCGAACTGTGGAGGCGTGCTTTGCCATCGGAATGTGCCTTACGGAGGCGTGGTTCAGAATGGGGGCAGGCTGCATAATGGAGGCGAACTTCTTCAGGGCGGCGTGCTTCATCGAGGCGTGTTTCGCGGAGGCGTTCTTCACGGAAGCGTGCCTAAAGGAGGCGTGCTTCGTGGAAGCGTGCGATGCCGAGGTGTGTGTGTGTGTGTGTGTCACAGAGGTGCGCGTCATTGGCGAGGCGTGCTTCGCGGAGGCGTGCTTCGCAGGTAGCTGTGCGTCACGGACGCAGGCTTCACCACGAGGCGCGTTTCATCGGGGAGGCCCGCTTCACGGAGGACTTCTTCATCATGGCGACGTGCTTCGCGGAGGCGGACGTCATCGGCGTGCCCCTCCTTTCTTTGATGATGGCGTCTGAGGGTCATCACATCCATGGCTCCTCGGGCCCGTGCTGCCTGGCTGGAGTCGATTTCGCCTTCAAGGGTGTGGGGCCCATGTTTGTGTCCGATCTAAGAAGCGGCAGCAGCAACAACACTAGCAGCCGTCTCTGCGGTTGGAGGCAGCAGTGACCGCGCTTTCGGCGGCGGCTAAGCGGGCCCACGTTGCCGCTTACCTGAGGCAGGCGTGCTTCAGCACGAAGGCGTGCTTCATCGGGAAGGCGTGCTCCTCTCAGGCACGCTTCATAATAAGGCGTGAATACTCCTGCCGGCGCGCTTCATGGTGGTGTGCGCCACGGGGACGTTCTTCATCATCATGGAGATGTTTCATCACTGGAGCGTGCTTCACGGAAGCGTGTTTCGCGGAGTTGTAATTCATTATCCAAGTGTGTATCGCGGAGGCGTGCTTCATCACCGAAGCTGCTTTACGGATGCGTGGTTCATCATAGAAGTGTGCCTCATCGAGGCGTGCTTCACGGAAGCGTTCTTCACGAAGGCGTGCCTCAAGGAGCGTGCTTCATGGCAGCGTGCTTCTCCGAGGTGTGTTCCACGGAGGTGCGCGTCATCGAGGGGGGCCTGCTCCACGGAGGCGCGCTTCGAGGGTAGCTGTGCTTCGCGGAGGCCTGCTTCATCATGGAGGCGTGCTTCACGGAGACGTGCTTAATTGGTGTGCCTCTCCTTTCCTGGGCGATGATGTATGCAGGGCCATCATCTCCATGGTTCCTCGGGCCCGTACTGCCTGGCTGGAGTCGCTCTCCAGTCACCGGTGGCTGCCGCGCGGCGGGGTGCAGACACAACAGGGTGTGTCGGGCCATCGGGCAGCCGTTGCGTCTGCAACGCGCGGATGCGGCTCCCCGCCAGAGCCCACGGCATCGGGTGATCATGTGTATTCACACCATTGCGACCACATATCATCATCATCATCATCATCATCATCATCATCATCATCATCATCATCATCATCATCATCATCATCATCATCATCATCATCATCTTCTTCTTCATCATCATCATCATCTTCATCATCATCATCATCATCATCACCATCGTCATCATCATCATCAACAACAGCATCATCCCCATCATCATCACTGGCATGATCATCGTCATCATCATCCTCGTCGTCGTCATGATCATCACCATCACCGTCATCATCGCCACTGTCACCACCAAGCATCACCATCACAATAATGATACTACTCAGCGTCATCACCATCGTCATCGTCAACGTCATCCTCATCCTCATCATCGTCCTCATCCTCACCAACATCCTGATCATCATCACCATCATTATCATCATCCTTATCATTATCATCGTCATCACCCTCATCATCTGCATCCTCACCAACAAAATCATCATCACCACCAACCCCATCACCATCACTATCGTCGCCAGCACTCATCATCCCCACCGTCGCCACCACCACGACCACCACCGCCACCGTCACCACCACCGCCACTGCTCCTATCTATCGCCACCATTGCCGCCACCGTCGCCACCCTCGTACATCGGGCCTCTCCTGGGGTGCCGTCCGACCAGAATTACAAGGCGAACACAGCCGTGGCGGCAAGAAGCCTCCAGGATGCTCAAAGAGGCTCGGCCCTCGAAGTTCGAACCCTGAGATCGGACATTGCGCAACAAATGCAACGTGGCGAAAAATCACGACCTGGGCCCTGGACGCCATCTTCCTGATGCGTGTTTCGAGCCCGATCGATCCGCTATGATCTTCAGGCCCAGGAACAAGCAACCCCAAAAAATTGTAGGAAATCTCGACGCTGGGATCCGAACGATGGTCTCCAATGCGCGGAACCCATCAAAGCTCGCGACGACAGAGCCGCGGAGGGGGAGGGGGAGGGGGGGCGCTCCTCGCCACCCCCACGCACCTCGTCCTCTCCCCCCTCCCGCTCCCCAGAGGGAGGGGGAGGCGAGGCGACGGGAGGAGAGCGAGGGGGGCCCAGGGCGATGGGGAGTGGTGGTGGGACGGTGGCATTGGCGGTGTCGCCGTGCTCATGTCCAGTTGAGGCCCACATGTGGGGCCTAGGGAAAGGGCAGGGGTCAGGGGAGAAACGGGAGGAGGGGCCAGGGGAGAAATGGAAGATGGAAGAGGGGGAGGACAGGGAGAAGGGAGGTGAGGGGAAGCGTCTCGCCTGCCCGCGGGGCAACGGCCTGCCCGAGGCTGCTGCACGGGCCCTGATCCCCGCGAGGGGCCGCTGGGGCGCACAGCGCAGGAGCCCCGAGGGACCTGCTCTGCTCGCCTCGAGCCCTGTGCGCTTGGCCGCGGGGGGGCAGGAGGGTGCCAGCAGTACACCTGCACCGTTCCTGGCCAGCCCCATCCTGGGATCCAGGAGCGGTGTGTGGGGCCTTCCGGCGTGGCGAGGCGAGCGGACGCTCCCCGACCACGGGCCCAGGAGCGGCCTGGCCAGGATCGGTGCATGTGCGCAGCTGGCGCCCTCCGAGGCGCGGCAGGCGGGCGCCGACCGTTGGGCCAGGGCTGCAGACATGTGAAGGGTAAGGGCGCCGAGAGCCTGAGCAGGCGAAAAGCATTGATCTTCCTTAGGTTTTTGACAGGTCATAAGGTTCTCACCTACTCGGGCTTCCGCCCGCCCAAGACGAGCCACGAGACCTCCAAGATAGCTCCAAGACAGCCCATGGAGCCCCCAAAACGGGCCCAGCGACGGAAACGGCGAGGATGAGGACGAGTAGGAGAATTGTGCCGACGCCGACGACCACCGCGATCAAGACGGATAAGACGACAAGCATGCCGACGCCGCCAGCCACCTCCAGCCACCGCAGTCTCAACTGGGACCGAACACCTGCACACGACCAGAGAGTGAGGAACAGGAAAAACGAGAAAGGCAGCATCGGGAAGAAGATACTTGCAACGGCGCCTCTCCCGCCCGGGCCCACATCTGCTCAAAATCTGTCACCAGAACCCTCCCAGGGTCCAGCCTGACCCGCTTCCCGAGGCGCCTCCGGCCCTGGCGATGACGAGCCTCCTCGGCGAGTGGGCCAGCGACCACCGATGCGGACACGAGTGCCCGGCAAGAGGCAAGAGCCGGCCCCGCCCCACTTTCTTCCGGCAGGTGATACTGGGGGCCACTCCCGAAGAGGGTCGCGTAGTCCCACGGCCGCCGCTCCACCGCCG